CAGGCCGTGGGTTTTTTGCTGCGCTGCCGCCCAGGCGCCAGCCCTGGCCATGGGGCGGCGCGGCCGGTGGTTCCTGCAAGGACAGGAGGCAAGAGCGGTTAGTCCACAGCTGACATGATGTGGCCTCCTTTCCCATGGCCCTGCTCCAGGCCAGACTGTCTGCCAGCTCTCCTCCCTCGGCACCGCCGCCCCGGTTCAGTCACAGTGGCATGAGCAGAGAAGCAGCACCTTCCAGAGCCCTAACTCGAGCGGCTACCACCCGCCTTAGGACGCGAACCCTACTTCTCAGGCCCTAACCCGGCGCCGTCACCACGGAAACAGCCACGACACTGCGCAGACTCAGCTGTTTGGCCAACGAACAGGGACTTCCGGCTGGCCGTGTCTGGGGTGGGGCTGCGACCCGACGCAGGGGTGGAGCCTCATGGGGACAGAGCCCTAGCCCGGCTCAGAGGCGGGGCCTCATCCAAGGGCGGGCCGCCCTTCGAGCTGCTACCCCTCTGTTGGAGCTCTCCAGCACCTCTTCGCCGCTTTTGGGTGAAGGAGACTTATGGGGCTCCAGGTGTGTCCCGCTACGCTCGGCCTCACCACAGCCTTCCTCCCGTCCGTATTACCCTCGCAATGGAGGGCCTGACCTCTGTGGCCCTACTCCGGGGCTGGTGTCTGTCCTGCGCACCGCGCAAGTGGGCTGCGGGGCGCCGGTCACGTGCCTTGCTGCTTCTCAGCCCGGGTTTGGTCTTCAGGTGTTATCTTGCACGGTCGACCCCCACTTCCCCACACTCCCCAGACCCTGCACCGGGCACTGGGAAGGCCCCTCGGCTTGTGCGTGCGCCCCGCCCCCGCAGAGTCGGGGCCTCGCACTCATCGGTGCGGGGTACTGCAGGTGGGGTGCGATCCCCTCGAGAGGTCTGGGATTGTCCCCACTCCCCTGCTCCGTGACCAGCCCCTGACCTCCTCCGCAGATTCCGGCTCTTTGGTCTGGTCCCTGGCGTCCCCGCTCGGATGCGGCGCGTCTTTGGACATCTTTCGGAGGACGCTGCGCGTCCAGCCGAGGCCAAGCGCAGAGGTCTAGACGCCGGCCACCTGTCGCGCGTCACATTCTCTTTGACAGGGAACGGGGATCCTGGGGCAGTCACCGAGATTTGGAGCTAAGTGCGGCGTCAGGGCGGAGCCAAGGAGTGGAAGGGGCGGCTGATGTCAGAGCCAGAGCAGGGTCCCCCGCCAGCCAGCAGAGCGTCAGGCAGGGGCGCTGGGTCAGACCACCGCGTTCGGGGGGGTGTTGTGGGGCGGGGTGCAGGCTCCCCCAGCCGGGCAGGTGGTACGCTCCCACCCGGCTCCTAGCCTCCTCCCGCATCCGTAGCATCCTCTTGCATCCTCCCGCATCCGTAGCATCCTGTGTTCTCGGGTGTTGGTCATCGGCCTAGGCCCCCGTGCTTCGGGAACCGGGCAGCCCCAGTGACCTCAGTCCGAGCCCTGAGGCCTCTCTGAGCGGTGGCTGACCCTGTCTGAGGCGACTCCCTGAAGGGTGGCACTACTGAGGCAGGGGTAGGGGCCCCAGGAACCCAGCACCCAGGTGCAGCTGCCACCGCGCTTGCCGCCTGTCGCTTCAGGTGAGCTGGAAGCTTCTCCCGCCCTGCTGGGTTCGGGCAGGGCGGCGCTCCGGGTACACTGAGCTCCGGGTCTGAGCCCCCAAATCATATGGACGCTGCCTATGCCAGGCCGCGGGGACTCCGGGGAGCGCCCCACTCCACCGTCCCCGTCTCTTCCGAGGCGGGCGGGGCGGGGGACCCAAGGAGGGCGGGAGTCTGGGGACAATACTCGGGCGATGCCTTCTCTCCAGGATGAAGGGAGAGACACCCGTGAACAGCACTATGAGCATCGGGCAGGCGCGCAAGATGGTGGAGCAGCTGAAAATTGAGGCCAGCCTGTGCCGGATAAAGGTGGGTGCGACCGCGCGCAGAAGCCATCAGGCCTGGGGCGGGGGTCTCCGGGCCCATACGCCCGAGAGAAGCAGATAGGAGGTGAGACTGGTGACGGGGCTGTCCCCAGGGCGGGCACGGGTGTCGCTTTGCAGAGGGCGAGGTCGCCCTCCCCGGTCCCGCCGACCCCTTCCGGGCGCCCAGGTGTCCAAGGCTGCAGCGGACTTGATGACGTACTGTGACGCCCACGCCTGCGAGGACCCGCTCATCACGCCAGTGCCTACCTCGGAGAACCCCTTCCGCGAGAAGAAGTTTTTCTGTGCTCTGCTCTGACTCCGCCCCTGCCCCGCCCCTAGTCGTCTG